CGCTGACTGGCGGAACGGAAGGGGGAGGGGGCGGGTACAGCTGGCTCTGCCTCTAGATAGGCGGAGCCAGCTGTCACTCACGCAGCTGGGCGGATCCTGGCATACTTGTCGGGATCCGCTCCGGCTGCGGCGTCTCAGTATACCGCGAGCTGTAGCTCCCTATATACTGAGCTTAGGGTGACGGGAGGACGCTAGTTTGTGTCCTCCCGTTACCCTGAGGAGAACTATGGGGGGAAACCACTGACCCCGTAGTTCTCATTTGAAATCCTGGGGACTTGTATAAGGAGAAAGTCAGTCCTGTTTTTGTACATAATCCCTTGGTTGTCAATTAGGAATATATTGCTTTCATGTTTGCACTTATACCCACGGAATGGATATTATTATTAGCGGTGGCATTTAGTGAAATAATTATAGGGATCTGAGACACGGTGTTGTTCCCAAATGTTTTTAATGAGTGATATGTTTCCCTTTTAGATTGTAGGCCCTCAGGGGCGGGGCCCTCCTTCCCATCTTCTCTTGTATTGTATTGTAACTGTAATGACTTCCTTATATTGTAAAGCGCTGTGCAAACTGTTGGCGCCATATAAATCCTGTATAATAATAATAATAATATGTTTGACAACGTTGCCAATTTTTATTGCAGAGTTTCTGTGGCGGTGGTGCTGCGTTTGTACTTTTCTATACTTAAAATCTTTTTCTACATACTAATAAAGTAAAACAATTGGCTAATTATTATCAATGCTGGTTGAAGTATAACCTCTCTTTTCCCCCTCACTATCTCTTAGAGGTGGTAATTGTTTACATGCCCTGGGGTGCCGAGGTTGCCTACCCCCGCTACAGGCCATCAATACTGGAAACCTAAAAAAAAGAGTATCCATAAGTCGCCCAATGTCTCCCAATATCAGGGCCTAATGCTGGGGGTGAGGATTGGGTTGCTGAGCATGAGCCAAGGAGCTGACCCTTCTCTCTATGAAGATTAGAGGAGCTCTTTCATCTAATGGCTGCTTCAGTCTGACTCGCAAGGTGGAGTGTCACAAGGTCCCATCACTCTGACTATGGGTTGATATCTGCCCCCCTATGCCCATTCCATGTGTTACCAGACAGTCCAGATACAACCAGAAGACACCGAAGTTACTTTACAGAGTTCAGAGATCTATAATCCGTACACGGGGAAGCACGACCTCCAGCCGCCAATTTCCTATATTCAGAAAATGTTAGGGTGAGGGACTCTTGTGGGGGAGAATAGGAAGAAATGGTAGAGTTGTGAGGTTCTGCCCTCCGGCATGAACTGGTTTCTGTTCTTGTACAGAAGAGAATGAGTCCACTATGACATGAATGGGGCCGATAGACATGACAAGGACTTACGGTTTGCTCCTGGATCAGCCCCTTTGTCAGGTGGAGTGTTAAGCCGTTGATGGTGATGGACTGTGACATGTGAGGAGAAGACCCGTGTGCTGAGGGCTGTCCATGACCGGTCATGTTGCTGGACGCTGATGATGAAGGTTGTGGTGTGGCGCCCATGCTGCGTGTCACCGGCCACGTTTGGTTGCCAGAAGCTGATGTCTCGCCACTGAGGTCATCACCTCGTCCAAAAATGTCTTCACAGGCGGATCTCATGGCTTGGACAGTCAGATCAATGTTGTTCACCAGCCGGATCTCCGTTACATGGGACTGCGTCACGCGGTTGCAGAACGAGTGAATGGTCTCCACCATAATCTTTGCGCACTTTTGGAGAGGAAACCCAAAGATCCCGGAGCTGACGGCTGGGATGGCCACAGATCCGATGTCCTTGTGGTTGTCCACATATTTCAGCACATTCCTGATGCATTCGGCGAGCTCAGACTCGCATTGGGCGGCTGCGTCATCGAACCATACCGGGCCCACGGCATGAAGGAGACACTTACAGGGGAGATTTCCTGCATGCGTCACTGCGTACTCTCCAGTTTTTAGGCGTCCATTGGCCCTAATGTATTCTTTGCTGTCCTTCTCTATGATTGGCCCTCCAGCTTCCACCAAAGCACGGGCCAACCCCCCGGCATGATCCAAATCTTCATTAGCGGCGTTCACCACAACATCGGCGTCCTGCCTAGTGAGGTCATCCTTCCACACACTGACCACGGGGCCCCCCGAGGTTCTCTTCTTATAAACTATTTCAGGCTTGACTGATGCAGCTTGATACCCGCTGGGTTTAGGGCCCCTTAACTCCGCGTCACAACTGAATTTCCTGAGGAAGAGGTCCGTGATCTCATCCCTACACCCGAGAAGATGTCTGTAAGTGGATTCTGGAAGAGGGATCCTCCGGGTGGCCTCCATATTTCTGGAAAGGGAACAAAGAAAGCCATTAAAGCTCTGGGCACCTCTGTGTGCCGGGGACCCCTAGAAAGGTCCAGACAGATTTATCCATCACATGGACGGATGGTGGAAGACTTTGCATGCAATGACTCTACAATACTGAAGCCCCTTGTAGGGTAATTACAACGATCCCATCGCCCTGCCGGACGGTGACTCTGTAGATTAGACTAGTGAGCGGTCTGTGCCGGAGAGGAGTCGCCACATACAGACCTCTGTCTTTGGTCTGTGAGATTGTTGTATATTGTGCATTAGATTCAGTGCTGCCGACAATACCGGTCTGTGATCACACTGCATGGAGGGAGCTATACTTACTCATTACATATTCTGGTTGCAGAGTATCGGGCATTGGTTTGATGTGTGTGGGATCCTGTTATAGATTAGATTGGTGGTGGTCAACCTACAACTTTAACGGGGCCCCAACTGCAGCTCCTGACATCCTCAGGGGCCATTGTTTAGCACATGAAATGTTCATAGAATAGAAACCAGGTGAGGAGACAAGTGTGTCTTGCCTACAGTCACGCATGGTGGTGGGGGTGTCATGGTCAGGGGCTGCATGAGTGGTGCCGGCACTGGGGGGCTACAGAGGGAACCATGAATGCCAACATGTGACATACTGAAGCAGAGCACGATCCCCTCCCCCCGGAGACTGGGCCGCAGGGCAGTATTCCAACATGATAACGACACCAAACACACCTCCAAGACCACCACTGCCTGGCTAGAGAAGCTGAGGGTGAAGGTGATGGACTGGCCAAGCGTGTCGCCAGACCTAAACCCTATGAAGCATCTGTGGAGGAGCGCAAGGTCTCTATCATCCACCAGCTCCGTGATGTCGTCATGGGGGAGGGGAGAGGACTCCAGTGGCAACCTGTGAAGCTCTGGTGAACTCCATGCCTAAGAGGGTGAAGGCCGTGCCAGAAAATAATGGCGGCCACACAAAATATTGACACTGTGGGCCCAATTTGGACATTGTCACTTAGGGGTGTACTTACTTTTGTTGCCAGCGGTTTAGTCATTAATGGCTGTGTGTTGGGGACAGCAAATGTACACTGATACACTGCCAGGGGCCCCGGATTGTACACTGATATACTGCCAGGGGCCCCGGATTGTACACTGATATACTGCCAGGGGGCCCCGGATTGATATACTGCCAGGGGCCCCGGATTGTACACTGATATACTGCCAGGGGGCCCCGGATTGTACACTGATATACTGCCAGGGGGCCCCGGATTGTACACTGATATACTGCCAGGGGGCCCCGGATTGTACACCGATATACTGCCAGGGGCCCCGGATTGTACACTGATATACAGCCAGGGGGCCCCGGATTGTACACTGAGATACAAGCTGTACACTCACTACTTTACATTGTAGCCAAGTGTCATTTCTTCTGTGTCGTCACATGACATGATATCATCCAATGAGAGGGGGGGACTCACTTCTGGGAGATGCTGTGTATATATATCATACAGTCACTCCGTATATACCACACACACCAAGTACACTGGATAGAGAATTTGAGGAAAATATGCTAATAAAATAGATTTTTTTTACCATTTCCCAATAAACAAAATAATGTCCCCGGATTTCATTTTAAAATGTGGTCTCCTTACCATACAGGCCCGACTCCAACTCAGCCTGAGGTTATCAGTGGCCCATCGCCGGGTCCTGGGGGGCAGATGTCTGTGGATGGATGGCGATCAGATATTATATGTCTGACCACCATGTCATGTCTATGGCCGGCCTCTGACACTTCCATCTGTCTGAGAGAATGTCACAGAGGTCGGGGCATCTAGGAGGCATCACAGAGATGGACCTCCACCTGTATGCTATGAGCTAACGGCAGGTTACTATGAGTTACCTGACTGCTTCCTATATACTATCTAGATGGTTGCTATGGGTTACCTGGCTGGTTCCTATATACTATCTACCTGGTTGCTATGGGTTACCTGGCTGGTTCCTATATACTATCTACCTGGTTGCTATGGCTTACCTGGCTGGTTCCTATAGATTATCCTGATGGTTGCTATGGGTTACCTGGCTTGTTACTGAATAAGAGCAGACAGAGAATTACACCCGGTATACAGAGATCGTGGAGCTGTTCTGTGTTGTGTCCGGTGTGTACAATATGCAAATCACACGGAAATGTTTGTAAACTTTTAGAAACAAAACATCAGAATTCTTATTTCCGGCATCAGATACATTGTAACGGATCGGGTCACCTGACATTGTGCGGGGCAGAAACAGGGCGACTCCGGGGATTTTAGGGTGCAGGGTGTAATAAACAGGGTGACTCCTAGGATTTTAGGGTGCAGGGGGTAATAAGCGGGGTGACTCCGGGGATTTTAGGGTGCAGGGGGTAATAAACA